AAATTTGTTGTCTCAATTGAAACATTATTTCTATGTGTCGGATTCAAAACTTTTGAATTATCATACACAGATATAAAATAATGTTCAATTAATATATAATACATACAAATTATAAATATAACAATAAATAAATACTATGAGTAGGTGGGTTGAAAGTTTCTGAGTCTCAAAAAAAAAAATTGATAAAAACGTAATCGTAGAAATAAATCAATTCTATGTCAGATTTAAAACTTTTCAATTCATTCTTAAATATTCACACATACATACAAGAAGATACGTAAAAAATTTATAAAAAAAAAAAAAAAGAAAAGAAAGAAAGAAAGAAAGAAAGAAAGAAAGAAAAAAAATAAAATAAGAAATGTAATTTCGTTTTTCTACTTGTTTTTTTTTTTTCTTTTTTTCTCTACTTATCAAAGTAACGAAGGAAAATGGAAGAAAGTTACCGAGAGAGGAAGACGGATGGAATGCAAATAGAATGGCGAAAGGACGATAAAATTAAAAGCTCACAGATGAATGTGCCTTTGGGTCTTCTTAGCTAGTTCTCGAGAAAGGAATACGTATTACCAAGGTGATATATATATATATATATACATAAACGTGGTTTCTCCCCATCGACTTCTCTACTTCTTTTAACCCACAAACCAACCCTCTTTCTCCACCCTCCCCCAAAAAAAAAAACCACCTACGTTAACCTATCCTATCCAATTTCGAGCTAAGAATTTATTCCCGTCGTTAAGAATTACTCGACAATAGATTAAAAGAAATAATTCTACTGTCTCACCTTGATCAATTTCATTCTAAAAGTTAAGTCACCAACAAGCAAAACCTACACAATGACGTTATTTTCAATAATTAAATAGACACGTTTTCTCGTTTAATAATGAATTGAAATATTTATCGATCGTTACATTACGAAAGATCGCGAACGTTGTTATTTCTGTCTTATCTCTTTTGAAGTATAAACGAGAAAGTAGTTTCATTCTTTAAGAAACATTCTAGGAGAGAAGAAAAATAATGTGAATTTCATTAACGTCATTGTGAGAAAATTCTAGGATAAGATAAATAACATTGACTGGTTGAAATAAGTGAGCAAAGAGTGTGATTACAAAGATTATTTACGTTAAACAAAGAAAGATAAAAGAGGAAGGGGAGGGGAGGAAAGCGTGGGGGGGGAGGAAGAAACGATAGAACGATACGAAAAATAGGATTCCGTAAATGTTTAATAAACTCAGAATAAAGATCCTTTGATGAAAAATTGAGTCAGTGGTAATAAATACATCGACAGATACACACACACACACACACATATATATATGTTTATATACAAGAAGAATATTAAACGTATCGGAGTGTTGTGTTACGAGTAGAAGAAAGAAACAATGAAAGAGAATGTAAGAAATAGAAAAAGAAACTTTATCGTAGAAAACACAATGAAAGAGAGAAAGAAAATGCCTAAGTATCGGAAAAGTGTGTTTATGTGTGTGTGTGTGTATGTGTTGTGTACGTTTATACGATGTGCCGTTGCTCGAGTCTCGCGATTTGCTGCTCCAGTAAACACGTCCTTTCTCTTCATCATTGTGTCGCAAGCACATTTACACGTTTGTTATTTCCCCCTTCGCGGGTTTATAGGTCAGTTTGTACTTTCTTAATCAACACCACCTATTTATTCCTTCTTTTTCTTCTTCTTATTCTTTTTATTATACTTTTGTTTCTTATTCTTTTTTTCACGTGTATTATTGCACACGTGCGTGAATGTCTTTCTAATTTCTGTGTGTGTTTTTTCTTTTTCTATTACTTGTTGTATAGAAAAGGATTACAGAATGACATGATCTTTAAAAAGGTATGCATAAAAGTTCGAAGAGAAGATCGATGAATTTATACACGTGTATGCATATGTGGATGTGTGTGTGTGTGTATGTGTGAACGAAAAGAAACAGCAAAGTATGGAAACTATAAAGCACTTCACTTTTCGACGGCAGCCTCCTGCTGGGTTATTCTACTCGTGGTACTTGATTTATGCTTCTATAAATCAAAAGTTGCCGGCTCGTGGCGAGCTCTTAAACTTCCGCCACTTAAGAATAAGAAAGAAAGAGAGAAAGAATGAAAGAAAGAAAGAAAGAAAGAGAGAGAGAGAGAGAGAGAGAGAGGAAGAGAGAGGTAGGTGCAATTTCATAGCACGTGCGGTGACGCTTGACCTCGACAAGAAAACTTGGATTTAAGATGAAAGAAAAAGAAGAAGAAGAAGATAAAAAAAAAAAACAAGAAGTAAGTATCGAGTCGTCCTTGACTGTGTAGTTGTGTTGTATATTATTCTTTTGTTACTCGTCTTATAAATTGACATGAAAAATTATAAATTGATTCGATATTTTTACGATATATCGACTTTTCCATTTTTTTTTTTTTAATTAATTCGATCAACTCTAACGAATTTTCAAATGTAGGTATCTAAACAAAACAAAAAAGAAATTAAATGTTTACAGAACAACTTTGTGAGTCTCGAATAAATATATATATATAGAAAAGGAAATAAAAAAAAATTAAAATGTAAATGAAATTATATTCGTTAACATTTGCCACGCGTACATGTGACATTGTTAATTGGCCATTTTAATTTAACGCGTCGTATACACAGGGTGATAAATAAAAATAAGGATCCGCTCGTGGCACTCAAGGGAATAAAAAAAAAAAACAAAAACAAACAAATGTCCTTTCAACATTTGGTCCTACAATTAATTCTTTCACTATAAAATAAACTCACCTTTAATGCTTGACGTATGTATACATACGTGATATTTACACATCGTATACTTTATATTTATATAAACTGTGATATATATATATATGCAACAACACACAACATATTATTATGTAAAACAACATTGACAAAAGCATGCAGCATTTTTTGTGAGTTATTTTTTTTTTCCCCCAATCAAATCATAAAAGCGAACATGAAATATTTGTCTCTCTTTCTTCTCTCTATTTCTCGATAGGAATAAAAATAAAAGGAATAAAAGCTGTGGTACGGAGGGAAAAATGGAAGTTGTCAAAGGTGATGTTATTTTTTTCTTTTTTTTCTTTTTTTTTTTTTGTTACTTTGTATCTCTAACAATTCCTCTTGTTCGTTATTCCTATCCATTATCCTCACCTGATATTCGCACTTGAACTCGTGCTCGAGAAAAGAGAGTCGACGTAATTCCCAGGAGAGTTCAAAGGCCGTCAGAATAGGATCCTTGGAGGACAATGCTATCAAAGAGGGTGATGCTAGGGCACGGTAGGCATTTATTCGACTCCTCGAGTGCCTCAGGGAATCCTCCAGTCTGGACGTCACACATTCGTCACATCTAAATCAATGACATTATATTTATTTTTTATTTTTTATTTCGTTGAGCTTACTTTATCATTGGTAAAAGTAATACAGTTCGAAATTGATTTTTTTGCTTTTCATTTGGTTGGTGGTTCGGTTGTCCGAATGTTTTATCTATCTTTTAGTTTAATTTCAAAAGGTAATATAAAAGAAGAAAAAAAAAAATCAAGAAAATAGGACGACTCACCCACAACGAACGTCGTGTGGCATTGGTAGAGTTGATCCACGATCTAAAAGGATCTTGATGATCTCGTAGTTGTCTCTGTGAGCGGAGAGGATCAACGGTGTGATATCCGGCGTGAACGTTGCGGTATCCGGCGGTAGAGCTTCCCAGCTCTGCCAGGCACATTATAATGTTATTTTCGTTAGAATAAATCCAACTTCGTGATCTGAATTAAAACCTAGATAACTAATCATTCGTGAAAGTGACGAAACGTATATTCAAATTATTACGGGGATTTTTCTTTCATCCTTTTTGAACACTACCGGTACAATGTCATCTTGATATAAAGTATTTTTAATGTTGCTTTTTTTTTACTATTTTTAAGGTTGAATTTAAATTTGTACTATTTAATAAACTCTTTCGTAAAGAATTATTTTTTTTTCAGATTGTTATTTTTACAATCTAGTATTGAATTAAATTAACGTAAAACGTACTCTCATGCAATGACTGTAATATTTTTATAAATGTGAAATCCAATTTTTACGTTTAATAAATTTAATAGAAAACGTAATTGTTTTTTGTTTGTTAAAAATTTTGAAAAATATCAAATAAAATGTATGTTCTCTCGTTGAATAATATTCCCAATTTTGATCGATTATTGTCATTTTAACAAATGCTTGAAATAACTAAAACTATAATGAAACTTTGATTAAAAATACATCATTTTACTGTATTAACATGAACATTTATTCGATGTTTTTTATTTTTTCAACAATTTATTTCAATAGAATTTTTGTCGTACCATAACATGTTTTCCAAATTTTTAAAAACAATCAGAAACATCGCGGTATGTCAAAACCATCATTCGCACAACACAATCCCAAACCTTTTCCAATTAAAATATCTACAAATCAAACAAAAAAAAATAAATAAAATAAAAAATAAATAATACACTGAATTAATTTCAAATCACTTGACAAAAGATTTCTATATTAAATATTTGGAAAAAATAAATAAATAAAAAAAAAAACAAAAAACAAAAAATAGAAAATATCCCTTCAAAAGGAGGCAAAATAAAATAAAATAAAATAAAATAAAATAAAATAAAATATCAAACCTTAGTTTTCTTTTCAATATCTCTAATAATCAGATAGAGAAAAAAGGATAAGAAAATTATAAAAAGGTGAATAAAATCGGTAATAGGATAAATCGTATTAATTAGACGATACCAAACGAGGAATATAGCTTTCATCGTAACCATCCAATTTTCGGAGACATAATGAATTCGTTTCTAATTCTGAAATCTCATCCTTTTCTAAATAGGGGGAATGGGGGAGTAGGGGGAGGGAGAGGGGAGGGGAGGGGGTATCATTCACGAACTTCTACGTAAGCCGATTCCTCGTTAAAGCCGATTAAACTTTCAACCAGAATTTACCGAGTTTCTTTTATAATTTCTTTTTTTTTCTTTTTTTTTATATTTTTCTTCCTTCTTCCTCCTCCTTTCTATTTTTATCTATCTATCTATCTATTTATCTATCTATCTCTTAAGGTATCTTCGAATTGCACGAAGAAGACAGATTATTTAATTCAACAGACTTTCACATTTAAAATCACTTGAACGTTTCTTTCAATCATTCATTTATTCTATGTTCTTACAATAATAGATAAAAGACGAAAAATAAAGATTAAAAAAAAATAAAGAGAGAAAGAGAAAGAGAAAGAGAAAGAGAAAGAAGGAGAAACAGAGAGAGAGAGAGAGAGAGAGAGAAAGAGAGAAAGAGAGAAAGAGGATGATAGAAACAAACGAAATTCTAGTTTCGATTGAAAGATAAGTTAATCAGTATACCAAGCACGTGGATCGAATAAACCTATGAAGCACGGATCCCCAAAAAAGCACAAGGGAAAGAGAGAGATAGACAGAGAGAGAGAGAGAGAGAGAGAGAAAAAGATAGAGAGAGAGAGAGAGAGATAGAGAGAGAGAAAGTTTCGCACGTGCTCTCCTCATTACCCCCTCGTACGTGACTGTAATCATTTTCACATATATCTTTCTCTCTCTCTCTCTCTATCTCTCTGTCTCTTCTTTTTCTTTCTCTTTGTCTTTCTCTGTTTTTCTCTTTTTGGATTTTTTCGATTTATTCGATAGCCCAAAAAACGATGTCGTTCGAAGGAACATAAAATACGTGTTTTCCAATAAGCTACGTATACAATATCGTAAAAGAATATTTTCTTTCTTTTATACGAAAAAATATACAAATATTTTGTACAAAATTTGATAATATTCATAATTTTGGGGATTATTGGTAATTTCAATAATTTTTTTCTTTTTTTTTTTTTTGGGTATACGCTATTTAATGATATAAACATTATATTATCGTAAAAATTTGTACACACAATGTAATAATAAATGAATAATGAACAATTGGCAATTTATTCAAAATGAAAAAAATTGTATATCAAACTTAATGATAATAATAAAAGAAAAGAAAAATAATAATAATAATAATAATAATATAATATAATATAATAAAAACTTGTAAAAGTAAAAACTTTAATAATTACATGGTGTTGTTTAGATGTGCAAACACGATTGGTGAAAAAATGTGTTAAAAGTTTAGTCGGTTGAACTTTTATTACTTGACTTTTAACAACCAATACTCAACAAGCCAATGTGATTTGTAGTTTCGAGAGTGCTTTAAAAGTGCTTAACTTTTCCCTTTTTTTTTTTTTTTCTTTTGTCGAAATAACATACAGACAAATTAAGAGATAGAGAAAGAATGAGAAAGAATTGAGTGTGAGAGACAGAGAGAGAGAGAGAGAGAAATAAAATAAAATTGTATATAATAAATAAATCGATACGTACATGAGGATCACCGTCTTTATGATAAGTTTCTTCATGATCAAGAAGAACTTCGACAGCTTCGACAAATTCCTCCGAAATTGCATGAAGCAAGGCATCCTTCGTGTCAACTTTGTGCTCTATCAACCATTCAACCATTTCCAGATTTTCATTGTCAATTGCCATCAATAGAGCTGATCTTCCTAAAGGATCCACGCAGTTGATGTTCAATTCTGTCTCGTGTGCACTTTGAAGCATTCTTTAACAATAAATAGTATTATTATTAAAAAAAGTTAAAATAAAAATGTATAATTATGAAAGAATAAAACGATCAATTATATTCATTTATTTTGAATTATTAATTATATCATAATATATAATAATATAAATGTATTATTATATAAAAATTATTATGTAATATTATTTAAAAAGATATTAGAAAAAAATTATTATACAAAAATATTATTATATAATATTATAAATAATGTATAATAATTTATATATCATTTGATTCAATTATATTATAATCAATATTATGATGAATCAAATGGTTTTTTTTTTTTTTTTTTTTTTTTTATCAAATGGCATTTACTTTGAAACTGCATAATTTTATCGTATTTTTTTTTTTTGTAAAATTTACTTTACAAAATTTTTAATGATTTAACTAATTGACTGTGAAATTTAGTTTGAAAAGATCACCACAGGGTGTGGAATTATAAAAACAAGCAATTGACGTGTATACACGTCGAACACAGGACAAATTCAAGATAGCAAGAATAAACGAAGAAAAATCAGAAAAATAGTTTAGAAAATTTTCAAGCTATGTATGTGTGATGATGTTTCAAAATGTGCAGGGTACTATGCAAAGTGCGATTTCATAGGTCGTACAACCAAAAACCTTGTTTCCTTGTGTTTTCCATTTTTTTTTTTCGAGCAAACGGTAGACACATCTTATAAATAAAAATAAATCTAAATAAATCTAAATAAAATACATCATAGAAGTCGTATTGGTAATATAAAAGGGAACAATACCACCAAATAATATTCTTATTACATTTTATTGAGATTTCAAATTTTTATAGTGAATGGTAATTTTGTATTTAACTGATGAAATGAAAAATTTACTGAAAAAAAAAAGGGAAAATTAATTAATTTAAAAAACGTACGTAAACTTTTAATTCATTCTAATATAAAGAATGAAAAAGGTTCATTACGTCGTTAGATCAAATTTTTATGATTATTCAAAATTTTCTTTCAATACTTATCTAGAATATGTTCTGTTTCATTTTTTTTTTTCTTCTCTTGTTACGATTGTAACGAAAATGAATATTATTGAAAATTTCTTCTCGTTAAATTGTTAAAAGATTTCTCATTCCCGTTGCAGGTGTTCTAAATAGTTATATCTTTCTATCTGTTTCTCTTTAGAAAATGAAATTGCGTGGATTATAGGAGGAAAGCCTAATTATGCAGTTTAATCAGTCACTAATTGCCTTAAGACGAACGGTAGGCCGTAAATGATTATTGAAAGCATCTGAAACGACGAACTTTTCATTTCGACCTTGTCCCAAGAATAATTAATGTTCCCCTGTCGTAGCCAACGACGAAATGGTGGCGAGCCACGTGACACTTGATTTTATTCTTCAACGTGGCGAAGGGGTTCGAAGACGAGAAAATGTGGAAAACGCTTCGGAGGCTAATTACTTTTAGAGCCTTTTGCTTTTATGCTCGTAACAAGAGAAATGAAGATTAAAAAAAAAGAAAAAAGAAGAAGAAGAAGAAGAAGAAAGAAAAATTAAAAAGAAAGGAAAAAAATGATGATGATGATGATGAATGAAGAAGAAGAAGAAGAAGAAAAATGAAAAGAAAAAGAAAAAGAAAAAGACATAAAGATGAAACGAGAGGGAGATAAATCGATCTTGACATTAATCTTTAACCCCGACCAAGAGACTCTTATTAATTTGAATTATTAAAAAGAATAATAGGATGCCGCAAAAAAAAAATAATAATAAATGAGGATAATATCCGTCAATGATATTTGCTTTTTTTTCTTTTCATTTTCTTTTTTTTTTTTATGGTGGATCGTTTCAACGGATTATACGGTTGACAGAATACAAAGAGAGAAAGAGAGACACACACAGAGTATGTGTGTATAAGAGAAAGATTCTGGTCCTCTTGTGAACGTGTCAACGCTCTTGTGTATATAAGTGTACACGAGGAGCACGCGAGCATGTTCACAAATAGAGATAACGAGGGAACAATCGAATCCTTAATTTCACGGGGTGAGATACGCAAGAGTGTATTGGGGTAGTATCCATGTAATTCGTATTACACGTATACTAAGTTAAATCGAAAATGTATATGTGAGATAAAGGGGAAAAACTGTAAAGGGGAATGAACGAACGAACGATCATTTGTTGAACTGTCCTCTTGTACGAGATGAAGAAGAGAACAGAGGAAAAAAAAAACAAAAACAACAAAACCGATATGTGCATGTATACAAGGAAAATCTATAAAGAATAAGATTTAACAAAAAAAAAAAAGAAATTTTACAAATTCATTCGTAACTTGTGGAATGATAAACATTTCTTTTAACATTTTAATTCTAGATGATATTATGTTCAATAATTGGCTTTATTGTTTCTATGGATTTTAATATGACCAATCATCTGACTCGTAGAAAATAAAACAGAACAATAATAATTGAATATATTAACATTTAGAAATATGTATATATATATAATAAAAAAAAAAAATAATAATTTAATTAGTAACGCGAAGGATGATTAAATTGCTTTACCCATTGGTCGCGAATAAAATGTTCGATTACTAACCGTTTTGGTTTGTTTTTTTAGTTTTTTAGATTTTTCTTTTTTTTTTTAAACGTTCCATTAAAAAATGACCAAAAAAAAAGAAAAAACGATTCGGCTCGCAATTCGAAAACGTATTTCATTGGGCCGACCGACCAGTGGAAGATAGTGGAAAATCGGACTATGTAAATTGGTCGTCCGTGGTGACTGTGATGCTGGTAGTAGTGTGGTGGTGGTCTCTGGAGACGATGTTACGTGACAGAATAATTTACCGAAAGCGGTAAATTATAATCAGTAGTCCTAGAACGTATATGATATATAGTACAGTACTATGTTGGTAAATATAAGTACGTTATATTTAAGAGATTTCACGTTGGGCGTGTGTGTTGCTCCACGTAACCATAATTACGCTTGAGAAAAGGCTACGAGTGGATTTGAAAAGGACTTGACAAATTTTTCTCTGACCAAAAAACCAAAAAAAAATATATATATATATATATTATAAAACGAACAAACAATACTACTACCAACGACGACGAGTAAAAGAGAAAAAAATTGTGTAGAAAAGAAAAAAAAAAAAAAGAAACCACGCTGGTTGTTAGAGAACAGAATTGTTAGGTTGTTATTCGGTGCTGAAGAAATTTCGTACTTGCCTTCTAACGGAAGCCACATCACCGCGTTCAACTGCAAGCAAATATTTTTTCTCTTGCATAGTAAGAGTCGTCATTTCCTGGTGAGGTCTGACCACGTTTTCCTCCTCCATCATTCCGTGAATGCTGTGCCTCTGAAATGAACAGAAAGAAATGACGCATTCATATAGAAGTAAGACATTTTTTTTTTTGATTTTCATATACCACCATGAAAAACGTCCTTGCCACTTTCTTCTTCTTCTTCTTCTTTTTGAAATTGATGCTAAGTGGCAAATAACAACACGTGAGACAGGTGAGAAATTCAATTTATCAAATTCAACTCTTTATGCTCATTCAAAAGGCCTAGGTTTTAACTTAGAAACGAACATTGTTTTCATTTTCACACAAGAAAAATGAAATTACTTTTTCGAACAATCCAATAATCTTAATGTATATATAAATTACGTGTCACGTTGTTTGTTCGCAATGGACACCTAAACTATTGAACCGGTTTTAATCAAATTTTGTACACTGTGTGCAGTTTCATTCAATTTGAAAGATAGGATTGTTTATATCTCAATTTATAATCAGATACGGTAACAGATGGCGGTATAAGGTAATTCGTTGACTTAAAGACGTGTGTATCGGATTGATTGTGAGTCACAGCAACGCGTAATGGGGCACCCCTAGTATAATATAATGTATAATTTAAATTATTTAATATATTATTTATTATATATAATTTTATAACAGAGGATTAAAAGCACACAACGATATATTCTATTAAGTTCTGACATTATCATTTCTTTATTGCTTTTCACACTTATACGTACTATTATCTAACTCTTGAGAATATAACTATTTTCTAATACAATGGCATACATACACTTTGTTTTCTTCTCATGTCACTACACTGAATATTTGCAATTACTCGTGGGAATATTCAAAGGGTCGTATCTTACATACATATTGTTGCCCTCTCTAGGAAAACACTTCATGTGTCGTTCCTGTTATATGTTTCTCTCTCTCTCTCTCTTTCTCTCTGTAGATAAACTGGATAAGGTATGCTCAGATAGTTCTCGTCTTTACGAATTAATTCATTCAGGTTTCTATCTCTCCTAAAGTGGAAATACCTAAGCCAAGATCTTGAATTTCTAATAGTTGGAATATAACATAAATATGTTGTCTCTTATTTACAAATATATTCAATGAAAAATATAATAATATTTGTAATTTTATAATAAAAAAATTTTATAATAAACAATGCACATGTTTAATAATAAATATATTAATATAATAAAAATTAGAATAAAAAAAAAGAATAAAATATTTGAAAGAATCGACAAAATTCTCAACATTTCTGTTCGTCTTATTTAAGTTTTATATCATTGCCAACAAGAAAATAAACTAAAGATTTTTCAATGACTCGAAAAAAGTAATTAAAACCGAGAAGAGTCGTTCGAGAGTTTGTTAGAAACTTGAAATGAAATAAAAAATAATGGTATCCTTAGTTTTCTCTCTCTCTCCCACTCTCTCGGTCTCTTTTTTTCGCTTTGTCTCTTTTTTTTATTTTATTTCACTAGAAGTAAAGCAATTAAATGCTATTTCCGTAGACTTTAATTCGACCGTAGTTCAGAGAAAAAGAGAGAGAGATATAGGCTATACGTTTCCGGTTTGCAAATGAAAAATGATTACAAATGGTGTATAATATACGACGAGCCTACACCACCCCCAAATGTGCCACGCCAAACTAGGATAAAATGCATGAAAACGTGCGAAAAACGTAGGGCGTTTACACGACGAGAACTTCGATTTAAATCGTATTTATTAAAGCTCTAGAGAGCTTTAAACCTGGGTCAAGAGAGAAGACGGTTGGCAATCTAAATATTTGTCTTTCCTTGCCATACCAACGAGAAGTAAAATATATTTAAGTATGTGTTCAACGTTTTCTCCTTCTTCTTCCACTTTTCTTTCCTTTTGTTTCTTTAATTTTTCTTTATTTATTTTTTTATTTTTTTTTTTTTTATTATTTTGGTAACAGAGAGGAATGTGTAAGTAAGTAAGTAATCATGATTTTTCATTCGACTATACGAAGACTTTTACAAAGTTAGAAACGTGTGGTGAACGTTATTGATCGTCTACCGGTTTCTCGATAATAGGAACGAAAGAGATAGAAAGAGAGAAAGAGAGAGAGAGAGAAAGAGGGAAGGAAAGATGGAAAGAGGTTTTCGGAGATGATGAATGCACTTTGAGACTTCGTACAAGCAAGAGACATGGTAGGGTGTACACAACTTCCGGCTCGGACGAAAATTTTCCCCACGTATCATGTTAAGGTTCTCAAGAGTCAGACCCATTGTATATACGAACCGACACTTTTATCCAAGTATGTTTGAACATTATGATCTTATCATGACTATATGAGTAACTTAAAAAAGCGAGAGAAAACGTGTTCGAGGGTATACATTTATGTATTTTTTTTTTTTTTTTTTTCTATATTATTATTTTATGTATTCCATTCTAATTGTGGTATTATTTTGTGTGTTGTTAGAATTTATTAGACAGCTTAGAATTATATTAAATCAATATTTTATAACAAAGCTATAGCAACGTGTGGCCGAAACATCATAGTATATATATATATGATAATAAAATTAATGAAATAATATTAACAGATAATAAGAAAGCACGAATGGTTCTGAAGCATTTGCAAAATTAAACAGACCTAGATCGATATTAACCTAGCAGCTGCATCTTCGAGAATCGAACTTGATCAGAATTACGGAATTCGAGAAATCCACTTGGGTTCTCTGTCTCTCGTTATATTCTCGATTCTCGTAGGCGATCCAACGATCAGGGAGGGATGAAAATGAGGAATGAAAATCCACGTGCATGAGAGATAGACAGATGGATAATCAAAATGAGAGTGTGTGTGTGTGTGAGAGAGAGAGAGAGAGAGAGAAATAAAGCAAGGCCAACGGTAGTGGGACGTAGAAATTAATAGGTGGAATAGCTTTCCATTGTTTGACCGGTCGACCTCCTCTCGTTACCTTCTCCCTAAACCCTTTCCTCCTACCATCCAAACCCTACCACCTTCTCCCTCTTTTACCCTTTTCCATTTTGTGAATCGTAAAATGAAAAGAATCCGGATTCAGCGTGCTCTCTCTCTCTCTCTCTCTCTCCTTTTTTAATTGTAAGAGTAGTCAGCAATCATACCTTCTTCTTATCTTTATTACAATCGGCCATTTATTTTTCACAAGAAGAATTCCTATCGGTCGAAATATTTAAGACTAAGAATAATTCTTCAACTATATAAAGAATAAAACCAATAGGAAACGTTTCATCTACGAGAATGTTCAATTTGAATTTCCCATTTATGAAAAATAATTAATCTTTCGTAAGAATATTGTAATGATTTTAATCAATATAATAAGATTGAACAATTATTCATGATAAAGGAAATTCGCGATTTTTCAGATTTGAATCATTCAATTTTACCAATTAAAACTAATATGTAGAATCTTGCGCGTGCAGAAATTTAATAACCTTTTTTTATTTTCTTCCTTTGATTTTCTACATTTTCATTTTAAACAAATATGAATATTTTCAAATTAGGTTTGATCCAAAAAAAAAAAACAAAAACAAAAAAAGAAAACAAATTTTAAACATGAAACTATGGTCTAACAATAAGAATTTTTATAAAAAGAGAAGAAAAAGAAAAATCATTTTTATAAATCAAAATTAAAAAATGCCAATGGAGAAATCGAATATATTTAAATTTGTTCATTCACGATTGTTTAAAATGTCATTGATTTTAACTATGAGCTCATTTTCTTTGATATTGTATTACATTTAGTATTGAAGAAAACGAAATTACAATCTGAACAATCTAATATATACAATATATATATTATATTATTATGTTATTATATTAAATGACGTATACATACACAAACACATACACACATACACACTCTGTTTCTATATATATATATATAAATATCAGTCTCTCTCTCTCTTTATGAAACGAAAGGAAGGAGAAACTTACGAAGAATGATGAACAGTGTTTGTCGAGGGTGTGACCATTCGACAATTAGGGAGTGCCCAAGTAAACACTCGTTATCAGTGTCAGCCTTCGACATAGTACATCGTCTTCTTAAAACCAAGAGGGCTAATCGTGTCCTCACACATACATATACATATATACATATATATATATATCCAATTGAACAACCCCTACAACTTTAAGGTACTCGTAATCTTCCTTCCTTCTTTTCTTCCTCTTACCAATGCTCTTACTCTCGTTACATGTTTTACCCTTATTTTATTCCACCCTTCGAACCTTTGTTAATCTCCAGCCGTAATATAATTTCTTTTTTTTTTTTTTCATTTTTATTATTCTTCCTTTCTTCTTTAAAATGAAAAAGGATAATTTAAAGAAAAGAAAAGAAAAAAGAAAAAAAACACAAGGAAAGAAAAAATCATCTCTCTTTGAACGTATTTTAATTGCTAACCTTTTTTCATCAAAAACTAGAATACGAAAATATTCATTAGATTTAAAAAAAAAAAAATAAAATTGAATATTCATACGAGTCCAAGATAATTGCTTTCTTATATAAAAAAAAAAAAAACAAAAAAAAAAAAAATTCCTATCTATCGTAAAATTGTATAAACCAATGGAATTGCGAGTTCCATATTCGATTGACATTTACGATGCACTAAAAGATGAAAGAGCGCATGTCCCAGGGAATTTGAAAAACTTCGAGACCTTAAATAGATTTTACGTGTTCTTCTTTGAATATATATATATATATATATATACCTAACGTTTCGTAATGTAAAGTTCGAATATATTAAAACGTACAGATGCGTATCGTCATTTTTTTTTTTTAAAGATAAATAGTAGAAAAAAAAAACACAGAGGAAAAATTGAGAAAAAGAGAGTAAAAAAAAAAAGAGTAGTGTTGATATAGAAAAGGACGAAAATTGTAGTTCAAATGTTAGAAAAAAAAATCTGAAAAAAAAAGGAACAATCTTTCTGTAGATGACGAAAAGTTTAAAAAATATTTCGTTGCTCTTCATTTTTAGGATTATCTTCATCTAACAGCCCTTCTAAATTGTTCCTTTCTTAGTGGAAGAAGAAGAGTCACCTCATCTGACACTTTACGACGTAATAAAAGTAAAAGCTTTGTCAGCTATCATGTATACATAACACGTGTATAGATACACATACACATATACCCCAACTGACATATATCAGAAAAAGCTTTCGAAATCTTACGCTAAGCTTGTAAACAAGGATTTTTTTTCTTTTTCTTTTTTTTCTATTCTTTTCGTTCAATTTTACATCGAACGTATTATGAAAAATAAATTCGTAAATATTGACACGCGTATTTTTGAAAAAAGTTCAATCAATATTTTTTCTTACGCATATTTTATACATCGGACACAAGAATCGAGTAAAAAAAAGTTGTTTGCAATTTTTTTATTGAAATAAATATATATATGCGATTTGATTTGATTCATTTATGATGGAATTCGTCTATGTAGAATCTATTTTTCGTATTTATCTACTATAAGTCACCAAAACAAACGAATTTTTGATATCACTGTATAGATGAGGAGGATTCAGTTTAGTCTTCTTATCAACTTTTGTTTTTATGTAATCAATAAATGTGTCTTCTGAAATGAATAGTAAAAAGTGCATATTGGACCATGTAATGCTTTAAGAATTGAAACAATAGCAATAGCACTAAAGTGGCAGCTACAAAAATATACAGTGTATACGGTGCACAATTGATAATTGATAGAGCAGTCAGAAATTGTTTTTGTAAAATTCCGTTCTGAAGATACGATCTTAAAAGACGAACCGAGTGCAGGACATCTTTCCAACTTTGACGAACCTTTTAAAGGTAATATTGAAGCAAAATTCAATAGATACACGTCCAACGGATACAAAGAGTACAAAAAAAAAGCTCCATGAAAAGTGGCCTGCACTTATTAGTGACAGAAACACCATTGTCTCATAAAAAATGAAAGTTATTTATGACTCGACCTAATAAAACCATAATCTTGTCATTGTAATACACATTTTTATCGACTTTCATTGGTCAATTACATCAATGTACACCTTTCGTCAAAATTTTCCATATCGAAAACACTTTAATTAATTAATTATTACTCCAATCTAAATTACATCGTTTTCATAAATATTAGCAATTGTATTTTTAGAATAAAATTAGTCAAATCCAACGAGTTTGTATTTTTTTTTTCCATTTATTTATTTTCAAGACGCAATAACAATTTAACTGAATATATTTTTTTAATTACTCTATGTGTGATACGTAAGTCTTTAAATACTCGCACAAATCTTATGAGTTTAGATTAATATTATGAAAATTATGCGATCGTAAATATATCAATCATTCGAATATACGAAGAAACCATTAGACTCTGTCCAATCTAAAAAAAAAATAATACATATTAATGTTAACACATGATTCTTAACAAAATAATCGATCTGTTATTATACATGACGAATTAATGAAATTCGTGTAATGAATGTAGACGTTACTAATTAAATTGTAAAAAAAAAAAATATATATATATATATATATATATATATATGACAGTTTTGCTATTATTAACGATAAAGTATAAATACTCACGGATTTTCCTATCGTAATATCATTTCATTTAAACGCTCTTGTATATGTATACATATATAAATATATATGTGTGTATATAAATGTGTATATAATCTATATATGAGAAGCGTGAAAACAAGCGACGTATAAATACAGAATAATTAATTAATTTCGTACAAACGTATCGTGGTAATTAATAACATGCTGACAACATTTCCAATGTCGTATGTCCACCATCTACACCTATACACACGATTCGTATCTACACACATATACATATATATACTATACATACCAATACATAGGTATTATTATACGTTGTGTTGATACGGAGATACATTCTCTTTTGCGACTTTCGATCCAGCGGTATCGATTATTCGAATGAACGATAGGTATTTTTTAACGATACGATTTTCTACGTGTTTGTGATTTGACAAATTCAATGAAAACTCAGAAAATATAAAGAAAGTCAGAGAAAAGGATAAATAAAAGAAGAGAAAGAGAAAGAGAAAGAGAGAAAATAGTGATTTCAAAAAAAGATGATAAAATGTGGATGAACCAACTCGATTTATTCACAAGTTTCGTAAAATTGGATCGACGTTGTAACATCGTTATCCTAAACTAGCGATTACCTATTTCGTTACATCGACGACCAAGCCTCGAAAGCTGTTTGTTCGCTGCTTGCATTTAAACGAATCAAAAGCTTCCTCCTCCCTCCTCTTCCACCTCTTCCCCATCCTCTTTTTCTTTGACCCTTTTTTTTTTTTTTATTCCCAGTATTCTCTCGGCAAGTAATTCCGATGGTTGAAATATTAGGAGAGACGTAAAGTTTCTTCTTTTTTTTCTTTTTTTTTTATTTTCGTATTTGGAAGATGAAAAAAGTTCATTGGAAAATAATATTGGAAATTGAGAGAGAGAAAAAAAAAAATCGTTAAAATCTGGGAAATGAACTGATTGTGTAAGATCTTGTTAAAAATTGCATAAATGTTCTCTTCTTATCTTTACTTTTTATTTCTTTATTTATTTCTATTTCTATTCGAAGTTTTTCATAGATAATTTGAAAATGTATTATCCATTCGAGTTCTAGAAAAAAAAGAAAAAAAAGATTTTACGCTACTATTCATTATCTTATCTTCAAAAAAGAGAAAAACCCAATTCGATAGTTTCTCTCTTGTTTGTTTTTCGTATGATTTTCAACGGAATTCACAATGTTCTAAAACCCGCGTGAATTATTTATATCGTCTACTTAAAAATAACTATTAAACGAAGTTGATGAAAAGTATTCAATTAATTTTAAGTAGAAACTGGTAACAATTTTAACACGAGTGGTAACTTTTCATAATACCGTTAAAACTACTCCTAACAAACTTATTCAAATGTTTTCATCAAATATGTGCATTTTTAATTATATATTTTATCCCTAAAGTAGGTCTCTTTTCTAAATAACGTCAAAAGAATATACGACAATATTTTTACCATTTTAGATTTTTTTAACGTCATCTATTACATTAACTAATTTGTATTTTAAATAGAATGAAGATAGATAATTTGTGTGTTATCGGTTTTCTATTATTATTATTTAATTATTTTACTTTCTTTTCTTATTTCACACATTTTTCATAATCTATAATTTGTTTTTTTTTTTTAAATTAAATTAAATTCAAAAATATTAAACGAAAAGCCTACACATTCCTATTTAAAAAAAAAAAAAAAACCGAGATATAAAATGTGTTAGAACAAATTAGCAATATTTTGACGAAAGTGTATTATTCGATAGAAAAATAGAAAAAGTAATAAAAAAAAAAAAAAAATTACAAGACTAACCTTAACTTTCTTATCAGCGTCAGGTCTCTCGAGTAGACTTGTAGTCTGTTCTAGGGGTGACAATGGGGGTGCCTCAGGATCGAAGTTGACATGTTGTTGGCCTGCACTCCTGAGGAAGCCAGGAACTCCCGTGCCAGATAGTTGAATCCTTGACGTGTTAGTCGCCATTCTTAGTGGGAACATTGTACAAGTGTTAGTTCCATCGCCAGCATCTTCATCGAAATCGTTTTCACCAGGGGTCCTTCCGCCCCTGGCGATATGCTCCTCATCTTCGCACGCGCTTTCTGTAACAAAACAACAAAAACAACAACAACTACAAGAAGAAGAAACAAACAACTGAATTACAGATCAAATGATTATTTATTAATCATGATTTATTATAAGAATTATTTTTCTGAAGTATTATAAGAAACCAAAAAAAAAAAAAGGATAAAATTGTTCTTATTCGTAAGAAATATTTTATAAACCATGTCATTTATTTAATAGTTTAACCCATTAGCTGACACGATCCTCATTTGGAAATTTTGGAATTTTACGTACACCACTTGCGGTTTTATGGTGGACTGTATGGAACAATGACATAATAATTGCTATTTTGTATGTATAGGAAATAATCCAATGAAATAAGTAATAGTCTCTTATTGGTTTTTTCTTTTTTTTGTTTTCGTGCAACCACCAGTCACAATCCCCATTTTTAAGATTTTTTATAAAATAGAAATATTTCTGTAATGAACAATAATTTGGCAATTAATGGACAGTTAAATATTGCATAATGTTTAATAAACTGGTAAACCTTTTTTTTTTTTAATCGCTAATAATCTTGCAACTCTGGTTGGGGGTTGATGCAATATTAATTCAATATTAATAAATCAACAAAATCAATAATATATATATATATATATATTATTCATTTATAACAATTACAGTATTATGACAATAATGTAATGAAAAAAGATATTACAATTTTAGTAGAAAAAAATGATTATAACTTTAACATATATTTTATCAAACATTTATTTCGTGTTCACTGACAGGAATTATTTGTAAATAAATAACAAAAAGAGAGAGAGAGAGAAATCGAATGAATTAAATTTTGTCAACGCGAATAAATCAGATAGAAATTAAATATAATATTTCTTATTTTTTTTATTTTTTTTTTTTTTATGTTTTAACCACAACAAAATATATTTTATCCACTTACGAGAATTATTTTTAAATGAATCAAAGAAAAAGGAATACGATAAAATCGTACGTAATATTATTATTATTATTATTATTATTATTATTATTATATTTTTTATCGAATAAAGAAATATGATAAAAAAAAAAAAGATTTTCCCTGAGATATTCAAAGAAATATTTCGAGGATGCAATTTTTCTAGAAGCAAAGTTCATTTCGTAAAATTCAAACGAGTGATATTTGATACATTTCTGCGATTCCACATATATCTCGAATTGATAACATATTCCATACTACTTTTCTTCTAGAAAATTCTTTTTCCAAAGGAAAAAGGAAGTATTGAAAGAAGAGAGAGAAAAAGAAGAAGAAGAAGAAAAAGAAAAAAATCAAGAATAAAATCTTATTCTCGTTTTATCGGTTCGTCAATACGTACCACCATACTCTCTCTCTCTCTCTCTCTCTCTCTCTCTCTCTCTCTCTCTCTCTTTCTTATACTATATATTACCTACCTATGTATGTATTTACATGTATATATACATATGTGTGTAAGTACGTAAGCTGTGTAGATGCAAATAAAAATTAGACGCAAAAGAAGTGAAGTATATCATATAAAGTACAAGGATGATTAAATATGGTGGTCAATTTCTCGCTGGAATTACACACAACCTACAACCCACAATCTAAAATCCCTTGCCCAATACACCCTGCCTTCTTTTTCCTCTTCCTCCTCTTCCTTCTCCTYCTCCTTCTCCTCCTCTCCATTCCCCATCCTCCGATCCCTCCCACGTGTGTAATCCAAACGTGAATGATGGATCGGAGGATACACTTTTCTTTATTGGTCTTACACAAACATGTTAGAAAAATGCTTACGAGGATAAAACTTCGATTTTGATATTTTCCTTTTTCTCTTCTTCATAATAAAAGCCCCACCTCCACCCCTCTTCCGACTACGGTCAAGTTATTTTTCTTTTTTTTTTTACTGTATATTCCGTTCATACAGAATCATCTCTCGAACCAAATTTCTATTTCACGATTTTTCGAGGATTTTTCTTCTTCTTCTTCTTCTTCTTTTACTTCTTACATTTCGTGATTCGATTTTGGATGCATTACACGTGTTTGGAACGTAGTACGATTCGATTTGGCATGCAAACAAAATTCACTTCGATTTAATCGTATTCCTCATTCCCATACTTTTCCCCCTCTCCCCATTTTTGCTTCTTCTTTCTTTTTATCTCTTCGATTGACTCTACTAAAAATTCCTTTATCTACGTAAACGTGTGGAAATAAATTGATAGAAAAAAAAAAGAAGAAGAAGAAAATATAAAGTACGAATGAACGAATGATACGTGTATCGAAAATGTATGTTACCGATATTTCACGATGTTTCTTTCTCATTGTTCGCGATCACGAGTTTCGATAATTCATTCGTACGAGTTATGTGCATTTGGTGATGCGGCAGACAGGGCTGAAAATTATCGTTCAACTTATAACAACGCGTTCGTTTCCTGTGTGAATTCGCGGTATGTGTTATCTGTGTTAATAAAAAAAAACAAAAAAAATACACACACACACACACATTTGATGAGAACTTTTATTTGCAAAAAAAAAAGGAAAAAAAGAAACACAGTCAATGTTTCAAAACTTTTATCAAAATTATTAATCTTTTTTTTGTAACTGGAAAATAATTATTGGAAAATCATCTATTTGGATATTTTAATTTTTAATTTTTTTTATTTTTATTTTTATTTTAATACTTTAACAATGTATTTTTTGTAATATTATGAAACAAAACATTTGTGTGGATTTTACTCGTATTTTTTTTTGTTCTCTTGTTTATTTTATTATATTCCAAAATGTTTGTCGATATCAATGAAAATGATTAAAGAGGTACGAAGATTGTAGAGTTTTTTTTTTTTTTTCTATTTGTACTTGTACCATTGTGCGATATTATCAACAAATTTACATGTAAAAGGATTCTCATTAAAGTCAAATATATAATTCTACGTGGAAAAGATTTGTTTTTTTTTTTTTTGAAAAATTCTTCTTTTAAACGATTATAATAAAAAAAAAAAAAAAAACAAGATCCCTCCTCGGTCTCCTTAGTTTGTATCTTTGCGCATTTGAAAAAAAGAAAAAAGAAACCAACGCTTTGTCTCGTTTCGTTTTCCTTCTTTTTTTTTTTTTTTTTTTCTTTTTTTTTTTTTTAAGCTCAGTTTCTAGGATACTCGATTCAGTTTTTTACCCTTTGTCTTCTACAGAAAAAAAAAAAAAACAAGAAAAACATCTAGATAAAATCTTACTTTCGTCTCGAGATTCACCGTAATCGAGAGATTTTCTATTTTTTTTTCTTTTTTTTTTCAAAAGGTAAAAGAAATTTTCTCTCGTTTGGATTAAAAAAAAAAAGAAAAAAGAAATCAAAAAATAAAAAAAATAAAAATGAAGAAGAAGAAGAAGAAGAAGAAGATACTTCTTTTTCGTCACGTATTCCAAATTCTTATTCTCGTTAATTTTGCTTTTAACGAGACATCTATCTTTTTTTTTTCTTTCCTTTTCTTTTCTTTTTTTTTGGTTCTTTTTACAAATGTCAGACGAAGAATAATGATAGAAGAGGAAAAAAAGAAAAGAAATAAAAAGACAGAACCTCTTTCGAGATCAACTAGACCACGAGTTTTAAGAAGAACCATTATAAAAATTCCATTGTACGATATGCGTGAATTTTCACGCTTAAAATACGACAGTCAAATTGAAAAATTCATTCATGAACAGCCCAGAAGATAGATTGAAGTGAAATACAAATTTAATATCATCCTCTATCCTTGAGAAAAAGAGATGTAATTTATTATATAATGCACGGTGCCCTATATGCTTCTTATAAGTATATTAAAATTCTATTCATTAATAGGAATTATTTGGATATAAATAAAAGAAAAAAGAAAAACAGAGAGAATCAAGAAAAAGAAACAAAACCAAAAATGAATTTTCCTTTATATTCAAAGTTAAGAAATCATATATGCGATATATTTTTCTTCGCGAAATCTCGCGACCTCTTTCGGGTCATTGAGCTTGACGTGAATCGCGTGTTTACATGCGAGCTTAGATCGATAACGACGTTTACTATACATATATATATATATATATATATACATATATTTCAGTACAGTGTATACCACCAATACAACGATATATTGCACCTGCACCTAACACACAAATTCGATTCCTTCTGGTTATATCGGATATTTCTTGCGTGCTTTAGTCTCTTGGAAATTCGATATCGATCGATGTTCCCATCTCGGTGTTTGGCCGTTCCTTCCTTCTCTACTGTATATGTCCCTTATAACTTTCCTCGTTAAAAGACAAAGATCGATGGCTGTGTATCCTCCTGCTGCCTACGACGAAAGACCTTAAAACATCCCACCCTTGCACCAAAAAAGAAAAAAAAAATAATGAAAGGACAAAAAGTAAGAAGAAAAAGAATTTCCGTTTAATCACGAGGCGAACCTTTTAAACGAAATTTTTTCGATCGATTTAACACCCCCCCCAATCCCCACCCCTAACCGATATTTCGCTGAAAAAACAAACGACACAACTTTAGCCAATATAAAAATATATATATATTCGAAATTTGGTATAATAAGCAAAATAAGAAAGAAAGAAATAATAACAATAATAATAAAAGAAGAAAAGAAAACGTTTTCGTACAAAAGATTGAAAAACTGAAATCTTAATATATATATATATATATATGAATTACGTGTCACGTTGTTTGTCCGCAATGGACTCCTAAACTACTGAACCGATTTAAATCAAATTTTGCACAGTGTATGCAGTTTCATCCAATTTGAAAGATAGAATAATTTACATCTCAATTAATAATCGCAATTATTTGTTTATTAACAAACGAGTCATGATTATCTCTGTTAGTTCGATAAAATTCTAACAGATGACGGTAGAAGGTAATTCGTTGACTTAAAGACGTGTGTATCGGACTGATTGTGCATCCCTAGTTACTTATAAAAATGAAAAAGGGTTTAGGAAAGAGGTGAGTGAATAGGACGAATGAGGTGGCAGGTATAGTAGAAGAAAAAAATTGGACAAAAAATGTAA